GTAAGGGCTAACACCAAGAAGGGAAGGGGTTAAATGCCTCCCTGCCACTGGGGACAAACACCCAGGAGGGCTCAACCATGTTGGGAGCACCTGATGCTTCGTGGAAACAGTTGGGCTGCTCCAGGAGGTGGTGAGATGCACTTGGATCCAGTTTATAACGTGTGTGTCGGGTCTCAACTGGCCTGGGGAGATGAAACAGAAACACAGAAATGCTGGAATCTGCCTGGTGATCCTGGCCATCCCTGGGGATGCTGTGGGGGAGTGGGAAAAAGCACATGGTGACATCTTAAGCTGTCACAGCGAGGGACCCGCAGTCCCAGCAGCACCCGTGCAGCAGGGAGGGGAGGTAGTGGCTAATTCAAGGCTGCTCCTGCCCAGAACAGATCAAGTCATGGTCCTGGGCTGGTCTCGACCAGGCTGGAGAATCTATAGGGCTTGCAGGTGACAAGCTGCAGTGGCTCAGCTCGTCTCCCTGTCTCCGTGTGTGAGCTTGCTTCGTTTCAGCTAGCAATTCTTTTTTATCGCTAGTAATCGGATGAGTTTCCCTCAGCACCGCCTGGCACAAAGGCAGCAGCCAGAAAGATCCCTGTGTGGAAAGATCTATGGAACGAGCTGTTACCCATTGAGCAAAAAAAGAAAAAAAAAAAAAAGGTTATTTTATCTGCTTAGTCAATCTGCAGTCTCTAAGCACATCTTAACCATGTTAATGCATTAAAATATAGCTCCCATTAGCCACCCAAATCATTTTCATCAGAATCATAAGCATTTCTATTACTGTGGCTTTGGGTTGGTGATGCAGCACCGGTCAAACTTCGATAAGGATGTAATCATTCTAGCCTACAATCCAAGGATTTCCTGAATATCTCATCTTTTTTTCCTTTTGAACCAGCAGGCCGAGTCACACTGCTTTTTCCTGGTGTGTACTGAGATCCAGCTTCTCTCCTTGCAGTGTATTTCATTTACGTGTGTTTTTCAGGCTGCGGTTTTCCTTGTTTGTGTTCCTCCAGGTCCCTGGCTCCTGCTGTGCTGACAACCCCTCTGCAATGGGGAACGCTGCAAGTGCCTAAGCCAGACCTCCCCTTTTTGTCCCATATTTCACATACCCACAGGCTTCTCCAGAGCCACGGGCTCCTTGGGAGTCTCCAGCCACCCCACTGAATCATAGAAGTCCTGCTCCTGCAAGAAGGACCTCATCCAGCCTCCAAGACCTCACCCAGCACCATCAGAGCTGCAAGCACAGGACAGGAGATCCTCCTTGTTGCAACACGGCTGGATCGTCTGCTCTCCTGAAGGCTGGCTTCATCCCAAGCAAAGCCGAAGCCCTTCTGGAAGCAGAGAGATGTTAATAGTCTCTGGCAGTGGGAAATGATCCTTTGGGATGGAGCCAGGAGCCCTGGTTGTGATGGGAGCTCAGCCACTCTCTGCAGACAAACCCCAAAGACTTTGTGCTGGCAGAGCTGGAACAGCCGTGTCACCGACACCATGTGCTGGAGAGGGCAGGTGAGGACCAGTCGTTTGTGGTTTGTCTCAATGTGAAAATGGGGAGGCAGCAAATGAAGCAGCAAGGGACCATGAGAGATGGACCTCTGGATCTCAACCTCTTGCCACCGGCGCTGCTGGAGAACCCCACTGGGCACTGACCCCCCTGGGCACAGGGTTGAGAGAGGGAAGTGGTGATAGTTCCCCTGCTGTACCCGAAAATTAGGATCTCCTGCCGTGAGAGCCAGGAGGGGCAGCTCAATATATCAGCAAGCTGCCTGGAAATGGATGCTGCCGTTGGAGCAGAAAGCAATCGTGCTTGAGGGATTGCTGTTTGGGTCAGGATGGGATACGTCCCTCTGGGGCTGTTTCCTTCAGGGCAGGGGGAGGTTGCGGGCTGCTGGGGAGGGTCCTGAGCCCCCCATCACACCGATGGCTCCCGAAGCAAGTCTCAGACCTGGATGACTGGGGCTGGAGGATGCTCTGCAGCAGAGGTGTCTGGCAGGATGGTGCTCAGCAGGCAGAGGCTGGCATCTCCTTATACAACACTGTGCAAATCTGTGCCTCAGTTTCCCCTGCTGCCAGGAGGCTCAGCAGCAGATTTGAGCAGACTAAAAGCAATAGATTCCTACAGGAACTTTTGCCCGGCAGGGAGGAGGGCAGGACAGGGCAGCCTGGCCATGGCCTGAAAGCAATAGTTTCCCACAGGAACTTTTGCCCGGCAGGGAGGAGGGCAGGACAGGGCAGCCTGGCCATGGTGCTTTCAGGGGCTCTGCTGGTGCTGCGATGGGAATGAGCTGCCGGGGACTGCGAGGGACCAAACTATTTCCAAAAAAACCTGGACAACCCTTGGCGCACAATCCCATGGGAGCATCACTGAGGGCTCCAACCAGGACGATGGACTCAGGCGTGGGTGACCACTGTGGATAAATCCAGAGCCACAAGCATGAGTGACTCTTGGTTGTGGGACCAACCCATCCCTGCTCCTTGCAGATGCCTATCTCCAGCACCTTGTGTGATGCTGCCTTCACACGGCCCTGGGATGCCTCAAGGAACAGCAAGAAAAGTCTTTTCTCCAGGGCTGAGCAGACAGGCTCCCTGAGGGGATCAGGGGGAGCCACGCTTGTGTCTCTGATCTTTAGATTTCCTCCAAACGGGAAAAATACCGCCCTTTGAAAATTTCATGAGGGTGGCAGAGAGCTGCCTGTCTCTCACCGCCACGTCTTTCTGAAAGCCATTTAAGGGTGACTGCAGTGACAAATGTCAGCGGGAGGCTCGCGCTGAGGGGAGAGCAGCGAGCGGCAGGGCACTGGAATTAAAGGATGAAATATTTATTTCGGGGTTTGGAAGTGCTGGAAGGACAACACATCACAGGCAAGAGGCATGTCAGCGCGGATGGCACTGAAAGCCAGAAATGAGCCCATCGGGCTATAAACTGCCACAAGATGTCCTCTCCCTCCCCACCTCCCACCCCTTCCAGGATCATTTCCAGCCTGGGAAGGAACGGAGAGGGCTGAACATCCAGGAATGGCCCAAAGCTGTGCACAACCAGACTGAAATGGGGTGTCTAAGCCAGGATGGAGGAAGAGGAATGATAGTCCCAGCCTGACTTTAAATACAAGGTATGAATCCTCCAACTGATGGACAGTGCATCCTGACCATGACAGCAGTTCAGGAACTGGGAGATCCTGGCTCTGGCAATGACATTTTTTGCCCAGGGCAGCCAAGCTGGAAGGTGGGATGAGAGCTCAGATCCTCCACAGAGGGTCAGGACCATGAGCTTTCCTATCCCTCCCTTGGTTCAGGCTCTGGACTGCAGGTTTTCTTCTTTGCCAGCTCTTGGTGTGCCGGGGAAGTAGTACAGGGCAGTCAGAACCCTGAAGCTTCAACCCCAGATGGTAGGTCTGAGGCTGGAGAGCGACTCCAGGGCTGGAGGCAACCTCTATGGTGGGTTTCATGTGTTAATCAAATAAAGAAGCTAAATTAAACTCCATCTCTGTGTGCCAGAGAGGCTCCTGTCAATCTGCCTTGCTCCCAGCCCAGGATGCCGTAGCTCCCAGTTCCACTTTGCTTCTCCCAGCCCTGAAGAGGTGCCAGGATAACATCAAGGGTTAACACAGGATTATCTCAAGAGGCTACAACCTCATCAAGAGCACAGGATTGGCAGGTCATTAATCTCAGAATTGCTTGATAACTTTAAATACAATCATGTAATCAGCAGGAACCTGTAATTATTATTTATGTGCATGGTGCTTACCAAATTACAGTGCTCTCCAAGGCTCTGTGTGATGAGCAAATTAATTCTGCAACGGAAGAGCTTGACCAGAAAGAGATGTTTGTGTCTGAATTTCACTCGTAAACATTGATGTATGAAATGAAATTCGGATTTAATTGGCCCTCCCTCCTGCTGCAAAGCACATTACATTTCCATTCTGTCTTAGCTCAGCTGGCGAGAGGGAGCATCACGGAAAACTTGGAGGAGTTTCTCTAACCCTGATGGTACTTGTGTGGGAGACCCACACGGGGTGCTCCTCACCCCCCAGAGATGTGATAGTGTTGACACCTTTGTGGAGAGCCTGTATTCCACCTCCTTGCTATGGGCATGTGGGCTTTGGCGTATGGAAGAGACAAAAAAGCCACCAGCTGCCCCATGTGCCTCTATGGGATGTTGAGCCCACTGCTTCCGTGGGAAGCAGGCAGAGGCAGTGCTGGGGTTATCTTTTCCAAAAGATGAAGATGCCCCAAAAGTCCTTGTGAGAGAAATCAAAGTAATTTTAATCAAAGAAGGCTGAGAATACACACACCTCTCCAGCTACAGAAAGCAAAGTCACATCAGAGTAGACCACTGAGAGGAGAAGGAAAAAACAGTGGTGAAAATGCAGATGCATCTGTTTGGGTTTCTTTCTTTGGTTTTTCAATTTCCATCTTTTTTTCCACCCAAAATGACCCCACTTTAGAAAAATCCAAACTGAACACGTAGAGCATCACTTTTTTTTGGTAACATCACTTGTATCTACGATGAAAAAGCTCCCAGGGGCACGTTCCCTTCTCTGTAGCAGGTGGGTCTTTATTAGCTCCTGCCAAAGCACCTGCAGAGAAATCAAACTGTCCAACGTTGGGGACAGAGCAGGTTTACTCATTGCAGGACATCAGCCCCTTCCAAACGCAGCCATGATGTCGGGAGCTGCCAGTTTACCCATTGCGTGACTCTGGGGGTCTTTTTCTCACCCATATATTGGATAAGGGGCAGTTTCTGGGACTGCTGGTGATGGACCAACTTGTACAAGGACCAAAACCTGCCCCATGTGGAGAGCATGGTCCTGGTTGTGGTCACTCCTTCATACAGGGAGCTGTCGCTGCTCCCAGCACGTTACTGGAGGCAATGGGGTATTTCTGGTTTTGGCTGCACAGTAGACATGCGGGTAAGAAATCTCAATGGGAGGGAAATGTGAGGAATTTGCTTCAAACTACTGAACTTCTTGAATATTTAAAGAAAGAACCTGGAGGATTTAGTCTATGCCTTGCTTTAAAGAGATAAAGAAAGATTTTATTCCTTTCTGGTGGTGTATCCTGAGGAAATCACATATTACTACAGTTTCCAAGATGCTTAAAACTCCTTGGGGTGGGAAATACTTATGCCTGTTCTTTAGAGTGGAGAAACTGAGGCACAGAAGTGTGAAGGGACTCATTCCAGACCCTGTAGGGCCTCAGTGGCAAAATCCCTGGGATACAGAGAGTAGACTCAGCTCATAACCCCTCAGGCATCCTCCCCCTGCCCGAGCATCCCCAGACCCCATATGGGGCAGGGAAAATGTGGCTCTGAGGAGATCGGGGCAAACCCATCCACCTTGCATGGACCCCTCTGCTCAGCTGCTTTCGGTGACCACATGAAATAGGGTATGGGGGGTGGACTGGGGACTTTGTGGGACTGGGAGCTGCACGGGAGGGGGTCCCCAGCAAGGGGAAGGAGGCTGCTGCTCCTCCAAGGCACTTAACCCAGCATGGGAATGATTTGGCCCCATCCCCTGCGTAAGAGCAAGGAGCAGCTCTGGCACCGAGCCCACCCGCAGGGGTAAAAGCAGGGCAGGGAGGAGGGGAGCGAAGCCAAGGCATGTCCCCATGGTAGCTGCCTTTGGGGAGCTGAGCCACCACTTTGCTGCAGCTCTTCCTCACCTTTCCATCCCCCTGAGGAGGGGCACGGAGTCAACCTGAGGTCCAGGGGCTCTGCAAAAGCCTGTAGAGCCATCCAGGGTGGGATGGACCACAGGATTAACTGAACCTCTTGCCACCCTTCAGACTGTCACCCCTTTGTGTAGCTGTTCAGAGCCCATCCCTGTCCCCTGAATGGTTCCCACCCCACTGCTCTGCCTCACATCCTTGGTGTCGAGATGAGAAATGACCTGATCAGACCAAGCAGCAGTTATGGGACCTCCTGTGGACTGGGCGAGGGGCAGGGGAAGGGCTCAAATAATCCCAGTAGTGCAAAAACACAGCTGTATAAAGCCATGTCTGCCATCAGTCCAGGGCTCTCCATCCATCCCCTGTCAACCCAGAGGACTTTGGTTGCCCCCAGAGGGTTTTTCCCCCTGGTCCCCCAGCAGCATTCCAGCATGCACCAGCTGGAAAGCTGACCCAGCTTCCCAAGGGATTAAGCCCCATAAGCTCTCCCAGCATTTTCCTGATGTCCTGTCATCTCAAAGCAGCGACAAGCTGGAGAGAGGCAGCGATGGGACATGGGGCATGGTGCCCAGGATGGAGGTGGGCAGGGAGGCTGCTGCAACCTCTCCGGGCTCCTCCAACTCCTTCTGTCACCCCAGCAGGTCACATCACCAGCACAGAGATGACAAAGCAGCATCTCAGCTGTTCTGTCCTACAGGTCTGCCCCAGCAAACAGGACAGGAGCCTCTGTAGGGTCTCCCATAGCTGCAGTGAGTCTGTGTGTCCTCTGCGAGACCGGTGGGTGCAGGCAGGACCTGGATCCTGTGCTGTGCCATGCTGGGGGTCCTAGGCAGCAGGGATGCTGGCTTCCCCATCCCGTAGGGCAGCTGCTGGCTCAGACAGCCGTGGACTGCTTGATGCTGTGGAAGCTGACACGGGTCGGGGAGGTGGGGATGGACATGGCCCGAGCCACGCGGGCGCGGATGGAGTGCTTGTCCTGCCATCGGTGCCACCGCTTCCGCACGGCTGATCGGACCTGGGGGCACGAGACAGAGGAGGGGACATTTAGTCACCACACAGCTCTCTGAAGTTGGTTCAGAGGCACCAACCATCCCCACCCTCAGTCTTTCAACCAAAAAAGCTGCCAAAATCCTGCCCAGCTCCTCAAGGACAAAGGAGGGTCCTGGGAGCCCCTGTCAACTCCCAGGGCACCCAGCCTTGTTTGATGTGATGCTGGTGAAATGCAGCCCTTGCAGCTGCAAAAGGGGATGAACCCGACTGATGGTGCACAAAATGGAAACAAGAAGGGGAAATAAATCTGAGCAGGGACTCTGCAGGAGACCTGGCATCTCACACTCTGCATCAGACGCTGCAAGGGGCTGGGAGGGGAGCAAGAGAAGTCATGGAGGTTTTATTGCTTGTCTGGTTCATGATAGTGGCATTTCTTCGACATTAATTCCACCCTACATCAGCCCAAGTGTTTTCTGTGGCAGGTAACCAGTGAAGAAATGCCTTTTCATTGACTGCAGGGTGGGACGGCCCTGGGAGGTGGGCACTGGATGCTGAGACAGTACAGTTGGGTGAACACCAGATTCCCCAGCCAGCCCAGCTGGGATCAAGAGATGAAGGACCATGAATTGCACGGTGTGAGATGTCTCCGATTCACCAGCTAGCCCTGGTCCAGTCCCTTTTCCTCCTGCATCAATTATTTATGATAATGAAGCAAGCTTGTCTGGGCCAAAGTCTCCTGAGCCAGCAAAGGAGCAAGCGCATTTGCGAGGAGGCAGAGGAAAGAGCTGCCCCAATGATTAGCCCCAGGATCAACCTCTGCTCTCACCTCCTTTGCTTTCTGCTGTCTGTGGTTTGGGTCAGAGCCTGGGAGGTGCCCCTGTCCATGTGCTGGGTGTATGGAGATCACCCTGGGGAAGGATCTCTCAGGGATGGGGGGGACCCTGGGCTCTTCTGCTGCACCAAATGGCACAAGTGCATCCCAAGAGCATCTTTTCCAGGGTGGACTTTTCTCCTCCAAAGGAGACCAACCACAGCCGTTCCCATCCAGGCACAACCTGTGTCTGGAGCTGGAGGTAATGCACTGTCTGACAGAGCAAACACCTTGAGCTGGGGCATTGGGTACCAGCACCCTCTGAGCTCTGTGCAGGGGGTGAGCTTGTGTCTGTTGGCAAGGAAGGGTGTAGACCCTGCCCACCCTAACCCCCTGATGCTCACCTCGCTGTTCAAGAAGCAGTAGAAGACGGAGACGAAGAAGCCCTGGAAGGAGACAAGCAGCAGTCACCACGAAGCTATGGTCAGCAGCCACCCCCAGGCTCAGGAGCTTTGGAGTAGCTCAGGGGTTTGGGGAGGTCTGTTTTGGGAGGGCCGGAGCAAGTTGAGGCATCAGCCACAGGATGGGCTCCTCCACATCCCTTGGTAGGGGGACTGGGATGGAAGCTAGTGCTGAGGACCATACCTGGAAGGACTCCAGAAAGGAGTTAAAGTAGATGAAGACGATCCTGGAGATCTCATCCTCCCCGGGGTTGACAAAGAACAGCATGTAGGTGATTCCCAGCAGGGGCAGCAGCACCAGTGTGGCCTTGACTGCTTTCCTGGGGAGAAGACATGGACCTGAGTTGCTGCAGCATGTCTCTGGACATGGGGACTCTCCTCATCCCGCTCCCAGCACCAGACTTGTCTGTCTGGGTCTGGATAAACTGGTGACCAGGGGAGGATGGAGCAGAGCTGGGCTGATTTGCAATGTGATCTCAGAGGGATGGGGCTGTTTTGAGCGCTGGGTACCTTCTGTGGTTTCTCCATCCAGAAAAGGGCAGTGGATAGTGAAGGCCTGACCTTGAGCTGTTGTGAAATGATTGCTTGGCTGATCTAGGGCTCGATTAAAAAGGAATTAAGAGGAATAAAATAATTCACACCCTTCAACATGGGTTTATGAAAAAACTCATCTCAGCTAATTAATTTGATATCTTTTCCTGATGAGATTACAAGTGCAGTTTGTGAAAAGTAATAGTGCTGATACAAGAGGAAGGATGAGGGCTTGGCATCTCATTCATTTGGATTAGGGCACAAGAACAATGCCAAGTCAACACTTTTTGCTTAAAAAAATCCTGTTAATGGACAGATTCCAACATTCGCTGAAAACAGGAAAAGTCATCCCTGGCAGGTCTGGGCTGGGCAGGGACGGGGCCTGGGACCTGTGCTGCATCGCTGACCTGGAGCAGAGCCACAGCCACTGACACAAACTGGCAGATGGCACTGGAGGAGCTGGAAATAACCGAGGACACAAGCATCCTCAGGCTGGCAAATGATGGGACAGCACATGCACCGGGGTGGCTTCCCCAGGGGAGCAGCCATGGCAGCAGGGGATCCACCAGCTTTTTACCAAAAGTCATCATTTAAGGTGAGCAGGAGCCTTCCAGGGATGTCCCTCACCTGGTTTAAGCAGGACTGCACAGTTTATAACTCACCCAACTCTCAAAGCTTTCCCGTCCCACAAAATGTTTCTGGGAAATGAAAACATTCTTCTGCCCAAAGGTAAAAAAAAACCTTCCCTGCTAAAATTAGCCAAATACTGCAAAACACAAAGTCTCTCAAAATCGCTGACTGAGGCCTATTTCAATAACATTTATCTTGCTCACCAAAAGTCTCTCAAAATCGCTGACTGAGGCCAACCAGCCTATTTCAATAACATTTATCTTGCTCACCCCAAGCTGAATCATTCATCCCAGCTCAATACTCCATGATGGGAAAAGCTGGCATTTCCAAGTGATTGCATCTGAATTTTTCCATTCTCAGCTGGAAAAACCACCCTCCACCCCAAACCTGCTTCTCTTGACCCAGCGCACAATGAGATTCCCTGATTCCTGCCCAGAAAATGATCCAGAGAGAAGCACTGATGAAGACCAAGGTGTCTTCTCCTGTTCTGAGTACTTTGGAGAGCTGCTCTGACCGTGCACCTCCCAAGTTGTCTGCAAAATATTCCCCAGCAGGGAAGGGTTAAATCTTCCTGCCTTTAGCTGCCAAGAGTGCTGCCTTCTTTTGGCTTTGGAGGAGGTGTTTTGGGTGACATTGATTCATTACCTCTTCCTTGGCCTTTGCTTTGCTGCCAAGCAGCGATTTAATTCTCACCTCCGTGCCAGGATTTGCAGCTCCAAGCCCTGGGAGCTGATCGGGTCCCACCAGCAAAGGCCTTTGCAAAGAGACTCGGCTCCCAGTGCCTTCCTTCAGAGGCAGATCCAGCCATCCATGGCCTCCAGCACAAAGCTCTCCCTGGCTAGGATTTTTGAATAACCCAAGACGCAATGTCCATGGGCATCCAAAAAGCATTTGAGGTGCTCTTAGATGTCTCTTCATGCTCCCATCCCCTGATACTTGGCTGATGGGGCCGTTCCTAGCCCTCCTAAGCAAGCTAACGCAGTTTCTAGGTCTGCTTTCTGCTTCTTTTATGCTCTTACCTGTACTGGATTGTCTCTGATGTGGTTGAAGCTCGGAGCTTTGTCATGAGGATTCGGACGATGTTGAACAGAAAGATGAAGTTGATCTGAAAGGAGAGGGCACTTGGTTAGTCTCTGCTCCCCCAAGGTTGCCTCCCATTTCCTTAGCAGAGGCAACGGGCCATGCCAGGGAAAATGGAAATGTTTCCTTTTGAATGCGATCTACTGCCTTCCACACACTCGAACATTTATTGCTTTTAAAGCAATTTAGCAATAAGATTTAGGAGTTTGTTCAAGGGAGCGGGGCAGCAGGACACATCAGGAGATCGGTGAGGAAGGACAAGTGGTAGAGAAAGAGCTGAAGGTGAAAAAGTGGGAGGAGGAATATAGCACATCAGGAGATTGGTGAGGAAGGGCAAGCGGTAGAGAAAGACCTGAAGGTGAAAAAGTGGGAGGAGGAATATAAGATAGCCAAAGGGATTTTGGGAGAGTGGCTGCCATCACAGCAAACAGCCGCTTGGCCGCTCTCCCAGATGCTAACGAAGGCATGGGAAGGCAGCACGGGGGGCTGAGCACAATTGACACAAATTAGAAGTGGCCTGGCTACCTGATGGGCTGGGAAATGAGAAGCAGGTTCAATTATTCAGTGAGGCCGGTTGGTGCCAGTGATTAGTACTCCCTTGAGCAAGGAGGGAGGAAAAGCTGTGGGACCTTGTGCATGGCTTTCCCCCTCCACACATGGGCTGGACCCTGGCCCTGCTTGGGACTTGCCACCTCTGCCCGTCTTTGTCTCTTCCCAAAAGGGCAAAACCCCAGTAAATTATGCTTCGTATGGCCCCTGGTTCAAACATTGCTGCTCGGCCAAGGGCCAGGAGCAAAGCCATGTGGACCAGGGAACGGGGCTGAGGTCCTCAGGCTACTGCTCAGCAAAGCACCCACCTGCACCCAAATAGTGCCAGGGCAGGGGATGGAAGGATTTACTGCTGCATGTGGGGGTGCTGATGGAAGCACCCCTATTGGAGTGAGGTCTCCATGCTCCCTTTGTAGCCCATCCCAAGGGAGCAGGATCCCTGCACGCTATTTCTCATTGTGGATCGTGAGCCCAAATTTGCTGAAGGTGCACTTTAGGTACAGGGAGCTGGGCTTACAGGGTGAGTGGTGCTGCTGCTGTCGGGTGAGATGCTGCAGGAGGGGGTGAGACCCTGTCCTTTATCCCACGTGCAGGTGGGGAGGGCCCCATTTTTAGCAAGTAAGGTCACTTTGCTCTTACCAGCAGCACCAGGATCATGGGACCTTGGTAAATGTAGTCGGTGTAAACTCCTGCTCGCTTCCCAAACCAGCACCTGCAAGGCAAGGACAAGGGGTGTCGGGGACATCTGGTGTTGGGGACAAGCCTGCAGTGTGAGTGACCTGGATTTACTCCTGCCCTTGCACAACCTCTGGAAGTCACCGTCCACAGGGTGAAAGCACTACAGCTTGAACTGCTGTAGCCACTATGGAATAGCTTCCCCGGGAACCCGGGATATGGAGGCACAAGGGGGTTTGTGGGGATGTTTATGGGCCCCATTTGGGTGTGGGAGCTGGTTATTGTAGGACGAGCAGGGACAACCTTACGTGCACCCAGGCCTGGGTTGGCTCTGTCCCCAGCAGACCCTGTGGGAGCTCAGGCAGGTGTATCCGTGTCCTGGGAGCACCCTGTTGGGGTTTTGATAACTGAGTGCCGTGTCTGCGTGTGTAGCATGGGGCTGCTGAAGTCAGGGGCCAAAACTAGCCCTGAAAAACAAGATGAGCTGCCATTCATCTAAACAGGCTCCTTTTAACTTCTGAGTCTGCATGATGAACTCTCAGGTGCCTGTTAAGTCCTCCATTAGCAAGTCTCTGTGAAAATGGCTCAGGTGGTGGTAGTTTATATCTCTGCTGGTAGATTAAATCCCAGCTCCATTCAGCAAACACATTGTAGGAGCTCTGGCTTAATCTTGCCTTTTCCCCCTTAAAAAAAAAATCTCATTTGCCCTTTGAAGGGAAAAATGCATCAGCAGGCAGGGCTCCTGCGGCAGAAAGTCTAAAGGTGAGATAAAAGAAGGAATGGAATAATATTATCTCTTTTTCCTCCCACCCTTTCCATGGACCCTGCCTCACGTCAGCCCTTCCCAGCAGGATCCATGCCTGCCACAACCCCTGGCACAACTGATCTCTGGGTAACTGGGATAGGAAGGGGAATGGGGAGTGAGAGAAACCAGGCTCACTTCTCGTTGTCGTAGTACAGCTTCCCGATGGCCCAGGCGACGATGATGGGAAAGGGGATACCTGCAGATGAAAACACGGATGGGTCTCAGGGGTGTGACATTACCACCAAATTATGCTGTAACAGGGATTTTCTCCCATTGGGTGAGCTGATACAGGCATGCAACACCCATCCTCCTGCTCCTGACAGCCTTTTTGCAGCTATTTGGGTGTAAGAAGAGCTGGAGCAGAGGAGAGAATCACAGAATCATAGAATGGTTTGGGTTGGAAGGGACCTCAAAGCCCCCCCAGTGCCACCCCCTGCCCTGGACAGGGAGCCCTCCCACCACACCAGGTTCCTCCAAGCCCCCTCCAACCTGCCCTTGAACCCCTCCAGGGATGGGGCAGCCACAGCTTCTCTGGGCAACCTGGGCCAGGCTCTCACCACCCTCACACCAAACAAGTTCTTCCTGAGATCTCATCTCAATCTCCCCTCTTTCAGTTTAAAACCGTTACCCCTGATGGATGGGGGTGGACATCACCCAGCACTAAAGCCTCAGGTAGATGAAGGGTACATCCCAGTACTTACACCAGCCAATGCAGATGAACATCCACTTGCGGAGCTTGTCCGTGGAGTAGGTGAGCACGATGGCCGTGTGCAGGTAGCAGCCCTCGCCGAACATCCAGAAAAAGTTGGTGACGTGGAAGTAATTGTAGGCGGCAGTGACCAAGCGGCACCAGAGCTGCCCAAAGGGTTAGGAGGAGAAGTGGAGGGTGAAGAGCAGAGCTCTGTGTTACAGTGGTGAAACTGCTGCACAGAGCAACACAGACCCCAGCAGAGCAATTGAACCCATGTTTCTCATAAGCTTAGGTTGTCTTCCAACCACCAGGCAGCCCTGCTTGGCCCCTCAACCTGATTTTGTGGCCTTATCTTTAGGATCCTCAAGCTCCCCACACATCCTGGCCATTCAGGGCCAGGATCAGACCAGACGTCTGGCAGAGCTGCACCTACCACGTTGCTCTCGTGCACCTCCGGGTTCATCGTGAGCTGCACCACAAACCACGTGGCGTTGCGTAGGATGAAGGCTGTGATCAGGTTCCAGTGGATGATGTTCCTCAGGCACCGGATGCTCCTGAAGATGGGGAGACAAGGGGCCATCAGAGCATGGTAGGTGTCCGGGGGCCAGCCACGTGTGGGCTGGGGGACAGAGCTGTTTGTGGAGCTGAATGTCTTTGTTGGGACCCCAAGGGTGAGTTCTGGGGCCATGTCCTGGATGAGGTGCACAGGACTAAGGTCAGGAGGTGGAAGGCATCAAGAAAGATCCTCTGCCTCCATAATAGAGTGCTTTAAAAAATGCATCAGGAGGAAAATAACCCTGAGATAGGCATGATCCCTCTAGAGCAATGGCCATGGGGGAGGATATAACAAAAGATAGGGGCTGGGCTCGTCCCCAGCCTGAGGTCCATGGAGTAACTTCTCTGGATTGGTCCCCCCAGCAGGTTGGATCACTCACCGCAGGCGCATGAAGAGGACGAAAGCCACGAGGAGGGCCCCCAGCGAGACACAGTGCCCCAGGTAGTTGATGATGACGGCGATGTGGTAGTGCAGCTTGCTCTTCTTCTGGTGGGGGGGGAGACAGGGAGGGGGTCAGCAACAGCCCCAGGTACCATCACAAGAGCTGCACTGCAGATTTTGGACCCTTTTTCAGAAAGCAACTGTAGCCCACCTGGTGCAGGAAAGCAGGGATGGGGCTGGAAGGGGACATGGCTGGTTGGATGGGGTTAACGTGGACAGGAGAGACACCAATATAGCCCTGCAAAGGGCTTGGGCATTTCATATCCTACCCATGCCAGGGCAGCCCACAGTTACTGCCCCAACATCACCGCTGCTCAGCCCTGGGACATCCCCAGCCCCTCCTCTGGGGAAATCCTGCTGTAATTCAGCCGAGCTCGCTGGCTACGTGACATCTGATGTCTCCGTTCATTCCCCGTTGCCCTGAGGGCAGCTGAGAGGCTGGGATGAATTTGGGCAGAGGGAGCAGGGGATCTCGGGAAGATGTGAGTGATAATTAAATTAATTGATTGCTCCTGCTGTTAGGCACTCATCCAACCTGTGAATTAGCAATTAACTGTGTGAGAAAACCATTCCTGGCAAGAGATGTCAGCATCTTAAATACCAGAGGTGGTTATCAACTGCAAATGAACAGCCCGTATCTCTTCTCCTTTGCTCTGAGGGGTGGCTTGACCTACTCAGGGGCTTGTAATTCTTGGCCCCCCCTTTTTTTTTTTTAATCCTTTCCAGCTTCCTAAATATCTCCTTTATTTCTTTGCCAGCAGGGAGGGATGGGGTAAACATCGAGTGCTTGCATCAGGAGGGAGCTGGAGGAGGGTGACGGGGCTGGAGGGCATGGCGATCTGCACCCAGCGGCCCCAGGGCCAGGAGACCTCACACTGCAAATCCTCTTGGACTTTAAATAGGGAAGGAAACAGGCATGGCTTTATTTTTGGAAGGGAATGAAACTGCAACTCAAGAAAAGGGTCATATATGTTGCATGCAACCCTATGTCTGGGATGCTGCTGTACCCCCAGCCCACAGCTCCCTCAGGCCATTTCTGACCTGGATGCTGTTGCCCTGAAGAACCCCAATGTCTGTCCCCTCGCCCTCCTGCCAAGAGCCCATCTGAGGGGCTTCTGAGGTCCTACCTCTTCGCTGAGGATCTCCTGGCACTGGGAATAGTTGACCCGTGCAGCCCAGCTCCCGTTAGCGAGGCACTCCCTATAGCCATTGTCTGAAAGAGAGGGTGCACATCAAAGGGTTAAAGGTGTGTGGGGATGGACACGGAGATGTGACCTGTTGATCCTCACTAATGCAGGGGTGATTGACATCGAGCCATCTTTTGCTTTGAAGCCAGCTCAGGTGCTGCCTTGGTTGTGATTGCAGAACCAAAATCTTAGGAAAGTTTCAGACCTGCTCAAGGGCTTTGGGTCTGCAGCAGCTCTGCCCCTCGGCACTGGGGGACCCTGGTGCCTCCCACCATCGAGATGCAGTGGGAGCAGCACAAGTTTGACTCCTTTTCTCCTCCTCTGCACCATTTTCTTGAGTGACCAGGTGCTGTCCTGCGAGTGCTGCTTCAACAGCCGTGTGAAATTTTCTCTTCTTTCCCTGCATGAGGAACTTTCTTTGCCTCCCAGCAAGGGCACAGTGAGTGGCAAGGCTAATTGGGAAGGACTGGCCATGACAGCCTTGGAGCAGCCTCCGATTAGCATCAGCACTGGGGTGATGCCAGCATCGGGGTGATGCTGGGCTTCTGCTATTAACGGGAGAGACGGTGAGCCTCATCAGGGCAATGGGATGGGACAGGGATGGGGATGGCTCTTAGGCAGGCACAAGTATGGATTAATGCAAAGAGACTCCTGCAATGGCATGAGAGGCACCACAAAGCAGGAGCCGTATGTACTCCATCTTCCACTGCTGCAAAAACGTGTGGGACAGAAAAAATCGATGTTTTCTGTGGGAAGCAAGATGTTTCTTTCATCAAAACCAGCACTTGGGTGGTCAGAAACTCAACTGGGTGCTAGGAATGCCTTCAGGCACTTTTCAAGTGCTTTTGCTTCAGCCCTTGTTCCCAGCACATCATTGGCAGTGACAGCGCAGTGACCCGTGCTGGGATGGGATGAGCTACAAGGTCCCCCAGTCCTTTCCCAGATGGGGGTTGCAGAACTTTGTGCCACCTCCAACAGCAGGGCAGGCTCACTCTTCTTCCCCTGTCCCCAAGACAGGGGAAGACATCAGCCATCAGCCTTCCCCCCCTTTATGAGGGCACATCCAGGAGGACCTGTTCATAAAGCTGCTGATGTGAAACCACTCTCCCAAAATTTGGGATATGTCGGCTTTTTTTCCTTTTTTTGGTTGATGGGTCCCACGGACGCCCTCGATGAGTTCTGTACCCACAGATGTATTGTCACTTGTGCCCCTGCAGCCCCTGATGCTCATGGCTCTCTGAATTCCCCCATCCCTCTCCATCATGTCCCCACCAGTGCTGCTCGTCTTACTCGTGGTGTTGTACCGCACACCGTAGAAATATTCGGGGCAGGGCCGTGCAACCAGCTGTCCCACCGCACTCCGGGGCCAACACGTGCCGATCAGGTCTACCGAGGCATTGCAGTGGGGACCTGTGGGGAAGAAGGGTAGAGAGTTAGTGGAGGGTTGTGGGCCACCTCTAGGCTGTTGAAGGTTCCAGATTTGCCCAGAGAACAGGGGCTAATGGATCGCAGCAAGATCAGCCCCCAGAAGAGCCTCATGGCAGACACCAAAGGGTAGAACCCTAAGACTCCCTAAAGGCTCGTTGGTCCATCCTGGCCATGACTATCATCCTGGTCCTGTCTGAGCACCTGGGTTAATCTCAGTTCTGGCACAAAACTCTTTTTGACTCGGGAATCCCAAGTCAGCTTGGGATTCCTTGGCTCTGGTCTTCCAGCCCTGCTCCTTTTCAACCGTTACTTTCGCGTCCAGCCCTGCAACAGCCAGCAATAATCTGGATTTTCCCTTTCCTGGTGGTTACTCCAGCCTGGTGCTGGTGGGACATTCTTCAGGGCCCCTCCAATCTTCTCACACCTCCTGGCTGCAAGATCTCCTTCCCAGCCGTTCCCATTGGTCTCTTCCAGCCTTTCCCGGGAAGAAAGCTCCAAGTCTGTTGCTGCTATTTCAGACTTCAAACAGGATTTGTGTGCTTTTCCCAGCTACACAAGTGTGCTAACGTAGGCATTAGGTAGGCCAGATTGCAGGCTTTTTTATGTATAATTTGTATATATTTAGAACAACATGTACTGTAGCTAAATATGTCTTAGCTACATCTCAAAGTGAGGTAGGAAGCACAAGGGCTGTAATATCCATATAATACAATCCTTGACAGGCAGCAGACCCTGGAAGGGGCAGAGTTCAGTGCAAACCTCTCCTGGGTACCAGGGATGTTTGTGCTGCCGGCGCAGAGACAGACATTGCCGTTTCCTAAGACAAAACACCCCAATTCACAGCTCTCTGGGTGTGAGAACACAGCGTTTCCACTCCACCCGGGCTCCATGGTTGTTACTTGAATGCCTTCCCCAAGACTTCCTGTGGATAGATCTGTCTAAAGAGAGACTGAACCAAAAAAGCAAAATACCGTGTTACTAATATGATGAACGTTTTCATGTCAAAGCAAAAATACCAAAAAAGCAAAATATCGTGTTACTAATATGATGAACGTTTTCATGTGGGAATATTTGTTTTCATTGATTATTGGAAGAATTGGCACCTTGGTTTTTTGGGAGGTTCTCAGAGCAAATTTCCAGTGCAAAGAAAAGGAGGGTTTTCTTCAGGCATCTTTGTAAAGGAAAACAACTTCCGAGCGTGTGAGCTGGGGAAGCATCAGAGCGTGGTGAGCGTTACCTTCTGCCTTCCATAGCTTGTAGTGAGAAATTAATTTTAACAATGACCTTTGCTTTTAGCTTTGCTAATGTGTATGGTTGCTGCGGCAACCTTCACTTTAAGTTAACTGTTTTAAGACACTATTTCTTAGGAAACAAAGTGCGTTTAATCACGTCTAGTGTTTGTGTCTGTGCTTATCTGCATCCATTTGCATTCATTGAGCTCCTTAGTTGTTTTGACCCAAATTTGACAGAGAAATAGAGGGTCACAGAAAATGAAATCCCTCTTTAAAATTTTATAATAATATTCATCCAGGTAGAGAAAAAACAACTGGTAATTGCTTCAGCTAAGGATGAAGTTAAATTGCAAGCGCTCTCCCTGTCAGCCACCTGGGAATCCACCCAGGTGAGAAGCCACATGAATATCTGGAATAGGAAAAACTCCATTTGGAATAACCCAGCATGGGAAAATGGGGCTGGCACAGTGCTAATGCCCAGAACAGCTCATGCAGTCATTGAAAACCCTCCCTGTGACCTGTGGGGCTGAGCACAAACTCCATTTTCTCCCCATCCCCTCGTGCCTTGGTTTCCCTCCTGCATCCCAGGGGCTGTGCTGGGGCACGGATGCAGACTGCTCAGGGAGGACAAGCAGAAGACTCGGTAATTAAAAGTCAGCGCAGTCAGAGAGCGGCAGGATTGGCACTCTCCATCAGGAGAACAAAACCACAACAATACCATTAATAACCAAACCCAAAGTAGATTCGTGGAAATGACGTGGTCAGACAAAGGTGGCATTGTTCTGTTACACCTCTGCTCAAGTCTGGATTTAATATCTCCACGGCACTTGATTTAACGCTAATTGGCACTCTCATTAAAGCACTATGGCCCACCAGATGACAAACCGAGTGGATGGGTCTTGTGGTCCCACCCCAGCAGGGATGTGGGGTGAAGCTGGAGCAGCATCACCAGGAGCTCAGCCCTCTCCTCATCCTGTGGGTCAGGGTTCTGGGGTGACATTCAGGCTTGGGGGGTGCAGTCAGGTGAGCAGAGAGGGACTCAGCCAGGCTGTAGGAGGCTCCTGGGACTTCACCCTGTGCACAGAAGGCTTCCCCCCACCGCTGTAGGCTGTATTTTGAGGTCTGACCCACCAGTTTTTAATCTAGTGGGTGCCTGTAATATTTTTCCCAGGCTCGTGCTACGAAACGCTTGATGAAGAAAAGCTGCTCTTTCTCTTCTCTTCTCTCCGGCGCATAGGGAAATAAAAAACCAATCTCCTGCTGGGGAAGGGTTAAGTAAAACAGTGAAGGCAAAGAGTGCCGTGAGGGCTTCTACATCCCGTTTGCCCAGCACCACCGTCTGCTCCAGCTGCTCCCCAGCGGCACACGGCTCCCAGCGTTTAGAGCACTGTTTAGCATGGAAATTATATGTATCAGTGCTAAATGCTTTCATATCTGCTTTGCGGCCCATCCGTATTTGCAGGGGGATTATTCTTCCAGGTTCTGCAGACGTCTGCTCCAGCTTTCTCAGCAGCGTTGGGTGCACAGACACAGCCACGGCCTTTGCAGCTTTACAGCAAGAAAGGTCAATGAATTTCCTACCTGCACCCAATCCCCCCCCGATTTGGCTCCCTCCCGCACAGAAACACGGCATTTGGGGTAGGAAGGAGTTGGTTCTTCTTTGAGATGGAGAACGTGGCACGGGAGAAGTCACTCAAATCCCTTCTCACCCTATTTCCTTTGGGTTGTGCTACTTTGAGGCAATATAAAGCATTTCCTATCTTCTGAAGAAAAAAAGTGGCTATCCAGGGACTTAGACTGAGACAACTGTATCACAATAACTGTCTCAGGATAACTGTAGCAATATCTCTCCCGTTTCTATAAAACATCCTTCTCCAGCCTCCTTCCACCACTCGCCGAGGCCCCTGAGATGGCTCCAAGCTAAAGGCAGGCAACTGTGTGAAGCCTGGCAGGGAAAAGCTCTCTCTGAGCAAATTTAAAGAGGATGGAGCATGTTTATCCTGGGCCAGCACCACCAGACGTGTGGCCACGGTGCTCTTGAGCTGGCGCCAGGAGGTCTGAAGTGTTATCGTACCATCAAACCATTGCTAGGATGGTATGAAGAGGAATAAAGCAAAGGTTGATGCTGATATAACTGTGTGGGTAAACAAGTTCTCGTCTCACACCAGGCAACGCTTTGCACCAGTGCAGTCATCCCAGTTTGCTGCTGTGTCCCCAGGGACACTGTGGCTGCTGGAAGGGCCAAGCCTCTCTCCACTTGTGCAACGCAAAGGGGCCAGGAGAGACGATGGAAATCTGAATCACAGGCTCATTCCTGTGGGTGGGAGTGATGGGGTTATTTATCTAAGGTGTCTCAGGAGGCTGAGTAACAGCTGAAAGGTGTTAGCTCCTATCTCTACCAGTCCTGAGCTCTTACTCAACCACGATTATCTCTGTCCCTCCCTAATGTCCTCGTGACTGAGTTGCTGCTGCCACCTCCTGAGCAGGCTGAAGCCCCTGGATCCTTGAGGGTGTCCCTGCTGCAGCATTTGCATTTGGTAATCAGGGCTTCATCAATATAATCAAAAAAGTCAGTCTAATCAAAATATACTTGCTGTAGCCAGCATGCAAAAGGTTTTTCGTCCCTCCTGAGCAGCTCCACCAGGCTGGTGGAGCAAAATGAGCCAAATCACACCTTATTGCCTCCCCCTTTGGGTGAGCCTTTGGGAGGATGTTCTTATTTCAAGCCACTGATGTGCCAAGGAGGGGCAGTTCGATCCCAGCTGTGGAGTCACTCAGGTGCTAAACGCTTGAGTAGCACCTTAAGGCATAGAGGGAAGTGGCACTGGGGGACAACCTGTGTTAACATGGGGTTAAAATTGGGGTGGTGGAGCTGCTTGCCTCCTCTCTGAGTCAGGCTTGGGTACTCAATAGGGCTGGGAGTAACTGTTGTTGTCTCAAAATACTTAGATCCTTGCTCACAGCCCACCTCCAGCACTGCTTTCAGTGGCCTTGGATATTTTATTTATCTTAGTAAGAGGCCAGTTCTTAAAAAATCCCCAGCAATACTCCCAAGCATTCAAGTTCCATGATCCTCAATGTAAAATAATTACACAGGCTAATTAAGTGTTATGATAGCAAAGAGCCTTTGTAATGAATTTTCGGCTGTTGCTATTCACCATCACTGACTGTCCCCTGGGGTCTTTGCTGCTATTCTGGAGAAGAATAAATAAGAGGCATCAAAAGTAGCTTCTGCCATTGGTATTTGATGCATCTGCTCAGTGTTGTCACTTATGACTGATCCATGTACAGCATATATATTTATTGAATGCATAATGTAGTGGGCTGGGTTTGGGGTATGTGTTGTTTTCCTGATATGACCCATAGAGTGGTTGGAATTCTGTTATTACCAACAGTAGCAGCAAGTGGTTTATTCCCTGGTATCACCCGGGGTTTGCTGGTGGGTGAGCAAAGCAGTATAATCCCTCGCTGGCAGAGTTTTCCTAGCGAAGACTTCTAGTTTGGCTACAACTGAGCAGAGTGGCTGGCAATGATTTTACTGCATCCAGTCCAAAGTGCAGTTTAACTGCTGTAGCTGCCGCTCACGCTGAGATGTGCCAGGACACTGTTTCCTACCAGAAAATCTCCTCACCTTCATCCCTCCTCCACTACAACGAAATCTATGAATATAAGCAAGCTTCTATTGACATCCCTGTTTCCTAGATGATGGAGCAAAATGGCTTTATCGATACAGGTAGACACCTAAAACATTGTGATTTTTCCATATAGATGAGTTCAAATTCTACGGTTCCCAAACCTGCCCCAGTATCACTGCTCTCCCTCGGCGCCAAGTCCCTGCCAGGACTCATCGTTGCCTCTTTAGCCCCTGCTCAGCTCCTTTATTAGTATTTCTGACTTGGTGGGAGAGATGCCAGCGAGGCTGAAGGGAAAAGAAGCGCTGATGTTGTTAATTTGACCTTTATGAATTTCAATTCGAGTCTCTCCCCCGGGGAGTCAGTGGGTGAATGAAACAGCGGCGGCAGGAGAAGGGATGGCTGGAGCAGCGTCAGCGGTTCGGGGAGCTGAGCTGGAGCGGGTGGAAAGTCTCTTGGTCAAACTGTCACCCGCTGTGAAACGTGTTTCCAAACCTGCCTGATAAAGTGCCCGCGAAGGAAATGCTCTCATCGCTCCCTGCTCCCCTGTGCTTCTCAGCCAGAGGCTTTTGCTATATCTGGACCAACTTGATTTTCTTTATTGAAATGCAAAGCTACGCTCCATTCCCCTCCTTGAAAAACCCTCCAGTTTTTTGTTTGTTTGTTTGTTTTTTAAAAAAAACATTTCTAATTCAGTTCTGCCTAGCTTCGGTGTTATTTTTCTTTGCTTTAGGTGAACTTACATGGCAGGAAGAATTCTCTCCTGCAAAGGAATCAGCTGTACACCCCTCTCTCTCCTGAGCACACACACAGGACTGAGGAAAACAATTTATTGTGATAACAGTTTAATAGCTTAAAGGAGTGAGTCGTGCAGCCAGGACCAGCTAGGGGTATTAGCAATTGGGTGCCAACTCTTTGGGCTGATCCAAGCTTGAATGCTATGAATGGTGAAACAACTCCTCAAGCTCTCTGAGCTCACTCTGCTTGAGTGCTTTCTGCTTGGGCTGCTTTGGAAAAGTCTCATCTATTAATTAGGAAGAGGCTTTCCCATCTGCTCGGATTCCCCCTTCCTTCCTCAGGGAAGTGCCCTGATGGGACGTAGTCCTGCATCTGCTGGGAGACGCTTTGCCCCGATGGGTGAAATGACCTTGTCCCTCCCTGATGGGCTTCATGGCAGGGTGAGGAGAGGAGCAGCTGTGCACAGACCCCGGGGAGCTGAAATCATCAGTCTGACAAATCTGGGGTCTGAAGCAATCTGTAGGCTGGGAGCCCTTGGGACAGGCACATATCCACCCTGGACATGGGGTGCTGATCCTCGCTGCATTCCTTTGCAAGCTTTATCTGGGAATTTCTTGGCTTCCAGGCATTTGGGTGTGCAGCTGACCGGACTTTCCCAATGCACCACATTGACCTCAAGTGGTGGAGAAAATACATTCTCTGCCTGGAGGAGAAAATATTCACTGCTGCTGAGGAAAGCAGCCTTTCTGATGGAGTGGCCAAGTGTGTGTGGATGCCCATGTGTCCCAACACCGGCCAGAATCGGGGGTTCATGGAGAGGTATTTCTGATGTGTCCCTAAAATACCAGGTTGGACCATCACACCTGCGCAGGGAGCCTGAACACCAAGGGACATTGCCCTGTGTTGGGGACAACATGCCTAGATGAAGATGGGTATATCAATGTTGATAACAGTCCAGGGCAAGGGAGCTCTGCAGGGCTCAGCTCTCCACTTCCAGGGATGAGGATTTGCAATGCCTGCACCCCATGAGTCTGGTGAGCATCACCCCGGGTCTCTTTCCACCGCACTTCAGTGAGCAGAGATCTTTCAAGCTCAGTGCATGTGCCTCGGAGAGTGCTGGCACCCTGGCGGTATCACTGTCCAGCCAGGCATCCTCATTAAAAAGTGTGAGATAATAATAATGAAGGGACTGGTGACCTGAGAGAGGAGGAAAACCCACGCTGGGCTGCGTTTCAGAGGGGGGATGCTGCACACGGGCACAAGGCAGGACCCTGCCACGCATCCAGCCGATGCCCTGCTGAGCCAGGCGCCGGGGGACCGCTGGGGCTCGTGTTGTTGGCATGTGCCATTTCCCAGGGGTTATGCAGGCATTAACAAATTAAGTCTCACGGCCTCGCTGCAATTCTCATTAGCGTCATCCTAACAGCTCTCCATGTTAAATAGCCTCCAAACAAAGTTTGCAGTTTTGTAAATATCCCTCCCTAGGAATCGCTGCCTGAATCAGGCAGGGTTTAAACAGACCCCAAGGATGAGGGCTGGCGCTGAGCTCCACTTGCCAAGCAGCAGACAGAAGACAATTAGTTTCATCTCTACCTCTTGTTCCAAGTCCCCTCCCGGAGCTGGAAGCGGCTCTCACATGTGCCAGCCCCATCCCAAATTAATGAGTTACTCAGGGATGACAGGTCGGATGCCTGGAGGCACTGGAGATTTTGCAAAGCTGAAGCCTGACATGTTGTGCTCCCCTGTCCCAGGGTGAAGGGCACTGAGGCACACTAAATCCTGCTTGGACTCATGCTAATAAATCCCTACAGAGCAAAGCCTGATCCTTGCAGCAAGCAGCACCCACTGCTTGAGGGTGGCGGAGATTGCAGGGCACATCCATCAGGAAAGCCATGGCAGAAATTGTCCCCCCTCTCTGCCCTCTCCCTTGGGATCAGGGGGTTTCAGCAGTGGGTGGCAAAGGCCATGAGCTGGGCACAAGGAGGCTCTGGGACCCTGGGTCGTGTCACAGTCTGGTCTGGGCATCACAGAAAGTCCCTGTGGTGCTTGGCCAGTGCTTCTATGGGTCAGCGCCCACGGAGCTGGGCTCATGTTGCACCAGGGAAGAAGAAGATAAATGCCATTTATCACAGCCTAACATGGCCAAGGACAACCCCCTTGATGAGCAGAGTGAGGAAACCTTCAGGGAGCAAAGCACATGAGTGATGACCAGGTTGCTCATCTGCACTGTGCCCAGGACAGACACACGAGCAATTCCATTGCCACTGGCAGCCTTGCTTTCCCTCAGCTTTCTGCCTCTGCCTGGAGGTGCCCTGGGGATGCTCCTTGCAGGGCTGTGAGCCCTGGGCTCCGCCGATCGGCCAGGCACTGAATCAGCTGGTGCCAAGTTGTAATTTTTTAAGAAGGAGTTTTTAATGCTGCTGTTAATGGGAGCCATCTGTCAGCGCCGGGCTTCCACAGCCATCCGTCACCCTGATGGAGAGAGCTGCTCCGAGCAGCAGGGACCGGGGCAAGCTGGGCAACTGCTGGGTGCCTGCCCTGGTCTTCATTCAATCATGGGAAAATGAACTCTGCGGCATCCCTGAGCCGGGGAGGACTTTTCTCCTTGTCCCTGTGAGGTCCTCTCCCTCAGCCACCTTTCCGCTCTCAAAGCCCGTCACTGAACCAGACCTGTCACTGCCGAGGTGACATCCAAGTCACGTCTTGAATATAGGCTAAAAGCTGGTTTTGGCACAAACACATCGTGGGTCTGACCCGGTTGGATGCAAACCCACGTATGGGTGTTGAGCAGGAGTGAGAAGCCTATGAGCCTGCTGGTCTCATCCAGCTCAGATGAGCCAGCCCTGGCCGTGGACATGTCCCTAGAGGCTCCTCGTGTCTGGTGGCCTCCCAAAGTGCTCAACGGTGCACATCGAGGAGTGCTGGGGGATGGAGGGCAGCTGAACCCTGAGGACAGGTGACATAGTCCCTGCAGAAAGTCAATACCTCCAGTTGTCACCCGTGGGCAGGGGGGTGGACACAGGGGATAAAGGTCCTGGTGTCCCTGGGCACAGCAAAGAAAGGGCAGCATGGGAGCAGTGGTCAGGCAGATGTCTCTTTGCCCACCTCCCCCTTGAATCCAGCCCAACAGACATCTATTTTCTCTATTTTTAGCTCTCCTGAGCTCTGCATCTTCTATCTGCCTCAACTGTCACCCTCCAAAGAGGCTGCTGGAGCAGCCAGCACGGGGCTGGAACACAGCCTCAGCACACCCCACCTCCCCCCAAAAAGGAGCCGGGCAGCTGCAGATCAGCCCAGAGACACCCCTTTACCCCCTCTTCCAGCCACCCCTGCCACCGGGGTCCTGTGAGGATGGTGAGGGTGGGCTGGGGATGCAGGACACTCACCCGTGTGGTTGGTGACAGGCGTCAGGCTCTCGCAGTACTGCTCTTGGATGGAGGCTGCGACCGGGCTGTCCCAGAGGAGAAACGCCTGGGCAGGGAGAGAGCAGACCACAGGCAGGGTTATATATGCAATACACCACTTCCCCAGCCCCCCTTCCCTCCTTGGATGTGGCAGCGGGTGGCTCACATCTGAGCTTGTCCATGTCTCGGTGGATGCCACCCCCAAAATCTGTACAATGGACTCGTACCCATTTGCAGAATGGGTTTCCCCGCCCAAAGGAGCTGGGCTTCTCCAGCCTGGGGCTGTGAGATTGATGCTCTCTGCTCTGTTTCCTACCCACCGATCCTCTCCTGCCCCAAATATCCCCCTCGGCAAACCCTACTGCAGCCCTGCCCAACCCCTGCCAGGCCACGGAGCTTTTGCTATTTAGCAATTTAATCAACACTTTTAGTTTTAGCATCTTTGCATCCTGAGAGCAGACAGGGGAAACATGATGAGCCTGACACCACGCTCAGATTTTCAATACCTTATTAAAATCACAGCCTTGTAAGCTGTCAGTGGGAAGATGTTAATACACATCCTTAAGGAGATCTGATCCACAGTCAACTGAGTCCGGCTAAAGCCTTTTTTTTCAGGAGAAGGGCTTGTCTGCAAACACTGCCATTCCCATTGCATTGGGAAGCTTTGACCAGGATCTATCCCATCCCTTCTCCGGAGCAGCTCCTGGCTGGCTCTGCAGCTCTGCTGCTGGTGAAAACCATCGACTCTGTCTGCACGGGGAGCTATTTTGGAAAAAAAGCTACTACTGAATTATTGTGCCTTTGCAGGAGTTTGGGGAAACTACAACGGAGAAAGGCAATTGCAAGTGGAAAGCAGCAGAGGGATAACGCAGTGAGACCCAATGCTCACCAGGGAGGCAGATGGGGGAAGGAGGGGACCTGCTGTTTTGCAAAACGCACAGATTTCTACCAGAGCAGCTGCCCGCTTTCTCCTCTGGCTCCGAGATGGGTGACATGGTGACACGGGCTGATCCCCTGATCCCCTTGGAGGAAAGCTCGCTGCTGACTGACTGAACGGCAGAGCTGTGCACCGAAATACAAGCACATACAGATCCCCTGGGGGGCTCAAACCTAAGCCTGGAGGCAGGAAGGCTGCAGCCTCCTCTGCTTGCGAGGGAGCTCCCAGCTCTCAGAGTGGTGGGCTCAGACCCCAACCTGTGCTGAGCCAATACAATGAACAACCTCCACCTTCCCCTCCAGCCAGACTGGTCCCTGGTGCCTGATGGGCTTCCCAAGAGCCATTTACCCTCAAAACTGCTCTGGGTAGGGAGAAGATGGTCCTTCTCTTGCCCTTTAGCCATATAAACACTGGCTGCTCTTGCTGGCACGCTCAGCAATCCCCCGCGCCTTACCAAAGCATTAGCAGGATTTATTCAGACACGGAGACAAGCTCAGCACCCACTTGCTCTTTTCCAAACAACTATTTACTGCCTTGGAAAGCTGGTTTTGACAGCGAGAGAGATGTCAGGCAGACGTATAAATGGAGCTGAGAATAGCTTCCTTGTTATGACTGCTCCAGATGGCACAGGGGAGCCGGTAGCAGAACCCTGCCCCAAACACGGGCGCTTCATGGAGCTCCTATTGTGCTGGTCCTGCAGGAACCAGGCACCTCCTGGGTCTCTTTACTGAAAGCTGAGACCACCCAAACTCCAGACATGGGGAAAGCAAGGTGTAGCAGGGTCAGCTCCCCTCTGTGCCCATTGGACCTGGTGGCTCTTTGCACGAGTAGATGAGATTAAAGGTTTCCTCGAGGTGTAGTGGGGTCAGCTCCCCTCCGTGCTGGTGCCCACTGGACCTGGTGGCTCTTTGCATGAGTAGCTGAGACTAAAGGTTTCCTCCCAACAGGGGCCGGGAGGGTTTTCCTACCTGAACGGGCTCTCAAGTGTTAATTGGATGAGTTTCTCCTAATCGCAGCCTGCTCCAGCCTGGCAGTGCCCGTTCTCCTTCCAGACACAGGGAGAGGTCTTGGCACGGAGCAGCAACATGGACCAAGCTACATTTAGAGGGGGGAATGGATGGAGTGCAGTCCCTGGCACTTTGCAGGCTTTGTAAATGAGCTGAAACAGCTACGGAAGGAAGGAAGAAAGGAAAAAAGACGTTCCCCCCAAACACACCAAACCCTAACACCTTTTTTACCAGGCTCTGAGTCTCGTCTCACTGCGATGTGGCCGATGCTCTTGATAGAGGCAGAGGTTTTTTACCTGCTCCCTTCAGCCCCAGCTTGAGGAGAATAAGCTGGGGAAGGCAGCCTGCTCCAGCCTGGCAGTGCCCGTTCTCCTTCCAGACACAGGGAGAGGTCTTGGCACGGAGCAGCAACATGGACCAAGCTACATTTAGAGGGGGGAATGGATGGAGTGCAGTCCCTGGCACTTTGCAGGCTTTGTAAATGAGCTGAAACAGCTACGGAAGGAAGGAAGAAAGGAAAAAAGACGTTCCCCCCAAACACACCAAACCCTAACACCTTTTTTACCAGGCTCTGAGTCTCGTCTCACTGCGATGTGGCCGATGCTCTTGACAGAGGCAGAGGTTTTTTACCTGCTCCCTTCAGCCCCAGCTTGAGGAGAATAAGCTGGGGAAGGCGGCAGCTGTAGGTGGATTTGCACAAGCCAAAAGCATCCTCAGCTGGTACCCCGACGGTCGGGCTCTCATCTCTTTTGCCCTTTGCAGGTTACTTGGACCCCTCCCCAGGCTTTGCAGAGAGAACAGGTCAAAGCTCTGTCCTTGAAGAGCTTCGCCTCCCAGGGCATCGCTGCCGTAAGATGCCACATGGCACCCAGCAGGTCCCAGCCTGGCTGGGCTGGAGCCAAACACGCCTCAACAGCCCCGAAACGGCGGTGGGTCGTGCCCGGGCCAGAGAGGAGCCGTGTCCCTCTGCCCTCCTGGCCCTGCTTTGATTAGGTTATGGAAAAATCATGCTCTGCGGTGAAGGACACCTCCATGACCTCTCTCAGACTGCCAAAATCCCGGAGAGCTTCAGCTGAGCGTTCAGCTGGACGGGGAAAGAGAGCAATCTGCTTTTCTAGAAGCAGCCACTTCACACAGAGGTCCTGGCCAGCCCGGGGACTTACTCCCACGGGGATGATGGTTCTGCTGGGAGCTGCACGGGCCCCATGAGGCTCCACGCTGGCAGCAGCTTCTCCCCCATCAGGAGCTCCCAATGGCTCCACTACTGTTGCCTCCACATTCGCCCGGCTCCCTTCTAGGCTCTGCTAACATCTTTGATTTGCACACAGGGAGGCCCCACCACAGATGATGGTGGGACTGGGTTGACCTCACTCCTGCCTTTCACCCCCACATTCCCTGCAGAAGGACCAACCAACCCCTTCAGCCCTCGCTGCACGGCTCACACACCAAAACCTGAGGCTGCTCCAGTGTTTGCTGCATCCCCCACACCAGCTGTAGTCAGTGTCCCACTGCCCTCCAAGTCCCAGCAGGGAAACTGAGGCACAGAGTATCACAGAATCTTCTAGGTTGGAAGGGACCTTAAAGATCATCTTGTCCAACCGTCAACCTGACTGACAAAAATAGACACCCACACAACAAACAAGGAGCATCATCACTAAACCAGACCTCCCAGCACTACATCAACCCGTCTTTTAAACACCTCCAGGGATGGTGCCTCAACCACCTCCCTGGGCAGCCCATTCCAATGTCTGATAACCCTTTCAGTGAAAAAATTTTTCCTAATATCCAGCCTGAACCTCCCCTGGCACAACTTGAGGCCATTTCCTCTTGTCCTGTCGCCTGTGACTGGAGAAAAGAGACCGACCCCCACCTCTCTACACCCTCCTTTCAGGGAGTTGGAGAGAGCAATAAGGTCTCCCCTCAGTCTCCTCTTCTCCAGGCTGAACAACCCCAGTTCCCTCAGCCTCTCCTCATAAGACTTATTCTCCAGACCCCTCACCATCTTTGTCGCCCTTCTCTGGACCCGCTCCAGCACCTCAATGTCTTTTCTATGGTAGGGGGCCCAAAACTGGACACAGTACTCAAGGTGAAGTACCATTTACTCAGGCTGTGCTGCACCACATGGAGCTTGTTACTCCTTGCTGGACCCACCAGACGTGTCCTGCTGTGATGCCACTGGCTTTTTCGGAGCCATTCTTTGTGATGGACACAGGGTGGCAGGTCCCCTGGGCCAGGAGATGAGGCACAACGGGCTGGGACAGTGTCAGCTCCCGGGCATGAGGAGGCTGTGGGGGTCTCATTGCTGGTGTGGGTGTGAGCAGCAAAATCACACACACACACACACGGCGTCAGTCTCTGTGACCCGCCGCTGACCTAGCAGCAAAATCCAATTAATAACAATTAGGAATTAATGTCCCCCTGCAGTGCTTTCCCTCTCCAAAGCAATCCACAGATATTAATTAATATATTCACATCCGAGTCAAGCATCGCCCCCCCCTGCACCGTACTACCCAGGGACAGGCTTGTCCCCCCTCGATATCTCATTGCCTCAAACAAGATCGGATCTGCGTGGCAGGAAGGGCTGACAGCTCTGAGCAGTGAGATAGATGGCTCGTAGCCTAATTAGCAATTTAAGATGGGGCCTGGGTTTTCCACCGCCGAGAGGGCTGTAATTGGAGAGTGGAGTGATTAGCGGGACGAAGCAGTGGCTTTGCACAGAGCTGGAGAGGTCAGGGGGAGCAAGGGATGGTGATGGCCACCAAGACCTTCCTGGGAGGGTGGTCAACACCAGCCACCCTGGAGTCATCCCTGCTGTAGGGACCTTTTTCACCCATCACTTCTGCTCACCGGCTTGGCTGGGCTCGCTGCCTCCTGAGACACTTGATGGGCAAGAAGAAAAACCTCCTGGGACACACGGAGCGGGGAAGGGCTGAGCACAGTCTCTGCCCTGGACCTTCACTGGGGTTCCCCGGGGCATCAGGCTGGGATTGAGCCTGCTCTTGGCCCTGAGCCTGCAGAAAAAGGTGCCAGACTCCGGGTGTTAAATACAGGGAATGTTAAAAGAGCTGGATGCCAACCTCGGATGGCAGAGCAACATCCGCGGTGCTTGAAGGGAGGGCACGGAGCAGCACATCTTGCCAACATCCCAACCATAGGGTGGAGGTGGCTCTGAAAAGCCTGACCAAAAGAGCTGCCCCTTCCAATGGGCTTGGAGGTGGCCAGGGCACCTCCAGCCTCTGCTGCCCAGCCCTCCCTGTCCTCTGCCTTCGCTCTTCTGGGTGCATCCCTTTGCCCTTGTCTCCTTTGACTTCCAGACATTGTCTTCTGTAGCTGGGGAGCTTCTCACCACCTCCACCTTGAGGGCTTTCACCTGGATAACTCCCACCCCCAGCCCAAGCCACGAATGAGACCCCCAGGGCCACGAGTGAGACCCTCAGGGAGCATCTTGCCCATGAAGGATTCTCCCTACAACCCCCTACCTTAACCCTGAGCTCGGGGTTCCTCTGAGACCCCCGTTTCACTGACAACCCCCCCTCCTGGTGCTCCTCCACTTGCTTTTCTGCAAAGCCACATCAGAAGCCCTGCTCGCATCGAGGCATCAAGGCAAAGCGCAGGCAGCGGAACGAGGCTCAAAGCAAGAACCACGGGGGGATTTTCTGTGGCTGATGTTACTCAGGGGGGAAGAGCAGGCAGCGAGAACGCCTCCATCTGGCATTAAAATCTGTGAATTTATGAATTTAGCCATATTAGAGGGCCAACCCCTGTCGTGCGCTGACAGGGGCTTTGGTGTGAGTATTTATTCTGTTTGGAGTCGCTCTGTGAGCGTGCTGGATGCAGATCCTAACAAAAGAATATCAATCAGGGCTAACCGAATGCCCTGTAAAACCTGATTTATGAGCAATTAAAGGTTTTTTTCTGGATTAAGCTCTGGTCTCTCTCACTTGCCATGAATAATTCTGACTTATCTATCAAAAGGGGCATGGATTTTTGGGGATAGGTGGAAAAAAGAGAATAATTGCATTCGGATGTTGGAAGCTGAAGGCACAGACATGCTGGGGAAGGGGACGCTGTGAATCAAAGTGGCTCCTATGGCATCCAATTTTTTTGCCAGAGCAAAGGCTGCTGAAGAAGAGTTGGAGCGATGGACACAAGCACAGGGGAGGGCTGTTTTACCAAAGTGGTTGTATTAAACTCTCCTGCAGATTGTACATACGGGGACCCGTGTGTATTCACAAATATTTTCATTTTGGGGTTGGAGATTTGTTTTCCCCAGCTGCCTCCCAAGCCCCACATCTTGGCTACACCAAGCTCCCTCCTTCACCCACCACCTTTTTAGGGTGATACTTTGGGATGAACATCTCCCATTTAATTCACCTTTAATTTTCCTCCAGTTTATCTGCATTCACAGCTAGGGAAGCCTTGCCCACACCAAAGCTGCGTCTGCCATTGCCTTTCCAGGGCAAATAGTACAGGATTTCAGGGTGGAAGAGGGACTATGATCTGCAAAAGACCATCACCCTCTGCCCTCTGCCATCTGAACGGAGGCGATTGCTTCTGGGTGGGTGACTCATTGATAAAGCAGGACACTGCAGAGAAGGAGGGTCTCTTCTATTAGCTCAAAATATGGTTAGGGAAAAAAAAGAAAAACAACAGATGGGCCTCTGGGAATGTTATGCCATCTTCAGAAAAAGCCACCCGCTCATGAGTGACAGCTCTCAAGCGTTGGACAACGGCTCCTGGGCTCGGTTCGTTGAGGGAACCCCATGCTAATGATTTGTGCTTTCCTTTGGGTCCAAATACTGTTCTCCAAGATAAAACCGTGGACGCAACCTCTCTAAATGCTGCAGACTGGGACCTCAGCTCGAGCTTGTCGCTCACAACAAACTTCTGGGCCAGCCCTGCGCAGGATTTCTGGTGAGCAGAGCTGTATTTCAGGGCAGGGCTGAGCCGGCTGTGTAGGCTATTCTCATCGTATTTCTATATATTCATCCTATGGCGAGAGAGCAGCTATTCTGGGAACAGGCTGTGCCATTTCCATTCACTTCTTCACTAGGAGATGCGAAACCACCCGGATGATTTCATACACACTGAATCAACTCTGGCTTTTAAGGAAAGCGAGGACTGGAAGAGATCCCCAGGGTCAGCGTGTCCTGCTACTGCAGCTCCGTGTCTTACGCAAGGGTTTGAGCAGCGAAGGGGCAAGGGGCTGGTTTTTGGGCTTATTGCTGCTGGAGCCGATTGAGGGCGAGAGGAAACCACCCCACCCCCAGCATCAAACCCTGGGTTGTTTTGGTTTTTTTTTTTCAGAAAATGCATTTGCAAACAGTTTTATCAGCCCCAGAAATGTCATCAGTTCCTGACAAAGCTGCAGGTGAACTGTTTCTTTTCAACCACTTGTTTAGTTTGTTGAAATACCTTGCAGGGTGCCAGAGAACGTTTTGCAGCAAGTTTGGCTGCTGATCTGTCTGTCCGACCACCCCAAGGGATGTCTACCCAGCAAAGCAAGGTGGGCAAATGGATGCTGAACTGGAGCTGCTGGCCAGATGCTTGGGGAACACCTTAACGGTGGCACCCCAGGGACCTGCAGGCTTCAAAACCTGCCCGAGCAGGGGAGATTCTCCCCTGGTGAGGTCTATTTTGGAGGTAGATGGAGGCAGGTCTGTGCTGGACGCTGCTGTGGGTGCTCCCGGCTGTAGAGACATACTTGAGGCTGGACTTTCATTGTCTTTTAGCCTGCCCTGTCCTCAGGAGAGTGTTGGGATTGTGCTGGACCACAGTCTGATTTTTAAATGCATATATTTATAAGAAAAAATAGATAGTTTGATTGCAAAAGGGTGTTTTGTAGATTAGGTATTTCTTTTTGGAGCTGGTTGGGAGAGATTTCTCTTTGCTTGGGCTGATTATCATGACCCCCTCACGGTTCCAGACCCACCACGGGAGTGGTTTTGCTCTCAAAGTGGAAGGTTTTTGAGCATTTGGCCCTCCATCCTCAGAAGGAGACCACCCTTGAGGGACATGTCGGGGTGGCGAGGGAAACTCCCGAGCCTGAGGAGGTTTAGCAGAGGATGGGAGCTGTTGAGCTTTTTTTCTGATCACTTTTTGCTCACACAGTAGCTATTGGGAGGCATCATGGCTTTCCCCATCTCAGCCAACTCCGTGGCTTTGCCAAGGGCGTCCCCACATATTGTCCAGGGAGGACCTGGGCTGGGGGGAAGAGGTCCTGCCCTGTCTCACCTGCATTTCTTACATGGGAACAAAACCTGAACAGGGGAATATAACTGCAGAGGAGCTCTTATAAAACAGGATTAGGGGTGTGTAGTTATAGGAGAAAGCAGCTGCTCTGAAGGGGAGCTTTTAAAAGCGACACCAACTTGGCAAGGAGGTTACCGGGCGCACGTCAGCTCTTCTCATCCCTTAGGTGAGAACTTTCCTGTCCCAAAGGTGCAGTTAAATACTCCTCCCTGCTCCTACCTCCAGCGATGCAGGGTGAGGAACCAGCCCGCGGGGTAACGGTGCTAACGGGGAGGGCTGACCCTCCGCTTTTTCTGCCAGCTTAACTCTGCAGTCACAACTGGGCCACTGAGACAGCATTTTGAAGAGAGCTAGGCAAATTATTTATTTTTTTTTCCTTTTAACCCTCTTTGGCACAGGGCTTTGATTTAATCAGAGACCTGATCATTTTGTTTAACTGCCTACCTAGGTTTGTTCAAACACCGTTCAGGGTTTCAGTGGAAACCTTTTCCCCTCCTCGGTTCCCCAGGGTTTGCGATTTAAACGTGCTTTGGGCTGGGAACATTTCCTTTCTCGATGAGCCCTCCGGGAGGAGGAATATTGCTTCTGACAAAGCATTTGCATTTTGTGCAGAGCTGCAAAATTAGCAGTGGCTCCAGTTCCAGAGCAAGCAATTTAGAGAGGAAAGTCTTCTGCTTTGCGGGTGGGGGTGGGGGTGCGGGGGGGAAAGGAGAGGTTTCTTTAGAAAATCAATTTGGGTTACAATTAGGCATTGCACTTGTGTTGTCCCCATCCATCACATCCCCATAGTGGCCACCCCCTCCCAACAGCCTAAGGGAAACTGGTGGCAGCTGGTTTCACTGGGAGGTGTGAGGCAGGAGCTGCTGGGAGAGCTGGGCTGTGCTCAGGAGGACCTGGCTGCAAGTCCCCCCCATTTAATGATCCCTTCACAGACCCCAGCCCCCTCCTTATTAGTTTTTGGGTATCGTGAGCTTTTGCCAAGCCCCCATCCCTGGACTGGAGGAATTCTCCCGAGGGCCCTTTGTGTAGCGGTTTCTCCCTTTACTTTTCCCTTCCTTCAAAGAAACGGAAAAGTCATTGCGGAGGAAGCAAGCGGCACAGGGTGCGGAGGGGTGATGGGGAGGGAGGCAGAAAAGGACTTAGAAGCATCTTACCTGCAGGAGGAGGAGGAGGAGGAGGGCAGGACGTAGGCTGGGCACCATCCTTAACTCCCACTGCGCCCAGCTCTCCGGGGCATGGCTGGCAGCGGTCCCTGCTCCCGCTGGGCTCCTTCTGCCGTCGGGGATAAAATCCTCTGGGCTCCGTGCGAAGGAGCGTGTCGGGGTCCCGGCGGGGCTGCCCGGAGGCGGACAGGTCCCTGTCGCCCTCCCCTTTGCTCAGCGACTCGTTCCTGCCTTTTATAACCTCCCTCGCAGCCGGTCCTCCGGCTTCCCACCTTCCAGCTCGCCTGGCGATGGGCTACATCCCTCCTCGCCAGCCTCCCACTCCCCCCTTCTCTCCCTCCTCCTCTTCCTCCTCCCCTTTTCCTTCCTCCACCTCCCTACTGCCTTCCAACTCTATTTTAATTTTTTTATTTTTTTTTTTTTCCTTTCTCCTTCCCAGCCTCAGCATCTTTAGCAGCAGAAACTTCCCACCGGTCCAGGGAATCCTCCACAGCTCCCCCTGGACCAGTCTCTCCCCTCTCTGCCCCCCACACTCCCATTTTGTGGGCTCTCCTGCGGAGGGTGTGGGGTCCCCTGGGTCTGTGCAAAGGGCTTGGGGCTGCAATTTGTGGGAGGGTTTATATATTCGGGGATTTGGCTTCAAGGCTCTGGCAGAGGGACTGGGGGAAGGGGAGGCTTCTCTTCCTCCTGCCACCCTTTGCAGCCCCTTTGCAAACTGGCTGGAGAACACAGAAGGTGGTGAGCCCCCCCTTCCCCTTCCCATAGGGATCCCAAAGGGCTACAGACATTCCTTGGGAGGGAGATGCTCCTGGGACAAGAAGGGGATGTGGAGCAGGTGGATGTAGGATAGACAGTAAATTTAGATTAGATATTAGGAAGAACAACTTTGGTGTGAGGGTGGTGAGAGCCTGGCCCAGGTTGCCCAGAGAAGCTGTGGCTGCCCCATCCCTGGAGGGGTTCAAGGGCAGGTTGGAGGGGGCTTGGAGCAACCTGGTGTGGTGGGAGGTGTCCCTGCCAAGGGCAGGGGGTGGCACTGGATAACCTCAAAGGTTCCTTCCAACTCTAACCGTTTCGTGATGGGGTCCTTCCATGCTGTGATGGGGGCACTTGATCATAAAGGGGGGAAACTGAGTCACAGAGGAGGTTGGGGTGCTGCTGGGAGGGTGTTTTTTCTCACAGGGTGGGTGGTGGAAGGGACCGAGCTGCTGGGGCAGGAGCAAGGGGACTTGAAGTGACAGGAGGGGAAGACTGTCTGGGGGAACATGTGTCTGGGGGGTAGTGGAGGGGTGGGGAGCAGCAGTGGGTGGTGCACGGGAGCCTGGATGATGCTCTTGGGTCTTGGCTAACAAAATCCCCCCTTCGATGCCTAACCCTCAGACATAAAGGGTCTCTGTCATGCCTCTCTGTCTCACCTACTGTCCCCTGGCATCCTCCACCCTGGGCTCCTGGGGAGGGGTGCCCCACATCCCAATGCAGGGGAGTCTGGATGATGCTCTTGGGTGTTGGCTAACAAAATCCCCCCCCAGTGTCTAACCCTCAGACATAAAGGGTCTCTGTCATGCCTCTCTGTCTCACCTCCTACAGTCCCCTGGCATCCTCCACCAGGGGCTCCTGGGGAGGGGTGCCCCACATCCCATGTCCCTTGGGGATGCCATGGCCAGGCTTGGTTCCATCTCTGAGCTGGATGAACCTCTGGCTGGGTGAAACCTGCTCCCTGTGCCAGGGCAGTCTCAGGGCATCCCTCTGCACCCAACTGGAGCTTGGTGGGGGGGTTGTCCCAGCTGTGGCTGATGCGCCCACCCCAGGGAGAGAGCCAGGCTCCACCTGCCCATGGTGGCCTGGCAGCAGAAATCCAGGCAGAAAGTTATGTTTTCTTATTTCCTTAGGGAAATAAGGAGAGCCAAGGTATACTGTTGGGAAGGGGATGATGGAAGACATTGCTATTGGGGTCACCATCCTGGTGGGACCAAAACTGTTTCCCCTACCTGATGCTGGTGTATCCATCAACCTCTCATGAAGTGCTGGACCTTGCTCCCGTCCTTGTCCCAACCACAGCCTCTGCCTCCATGGCTGCAGACCACGGTGTATTGCAGACAGATCAATAGGAGGGCAGTGTCCTTTGATGGATTCATGGCCGAAGCCTCCATCCATCTTTGCTGAGCTGCTTTCTGTCTCTGAAGCATGGGAGAGGGCAGGAGGTGATCAAGGTCCTTCCTGCATCTGCTGGACCAAGGCACAAGCGGCCAACCAGGGCTGCACTCCAGCACATGGGTGCAACCAGTGACCCATCCCAGGCCCCAAAGGGTAAATGCTCCTGGCCCAGTAATTAAAGGGAATAAACAGCACAGACATAAGTCTTCCGGCATTAGCTGGATTTAATCAACTGTGTCATTGCTCTGGCAAAGAAGTTCAAAAATATGTAAAGCTCTGGTAAACTCAGGAAGCTCTTTGTTTCTTAGGTCTCCTAACATCCCTACCCCTGAGAAGCGACGGGATGAGACACGGTCCAGAACCCTTGGCTTATCTTTCGCTTCAATAAGCCCAATTGAAAATGCAAAATTTTCTTCAAAAAGGCTTGAGAAATCTCCCACACCCTTGAGCAGCCTGGATTCAGCTCATTCACTGAGTGCATCGTGGGTCCAGGACACAGCTCCAAGCTCTGGTTTTGGGGGGCTGCTCAGGGCTTTGTGCACCCCAGGGCACAGGAGACACCTCACAGTGGGGAGCACTGGGGACCCCGTTTCTATGCTGGGACCCTGGGGATTGTCCTTAGCCATCGTGGTCTGCCCATGGCCACCAAATGGGGCACGTGCAATGGCCACGCTCTTTCTCAGGTGCCTAAAGTGCGAAGGTGAGGGGAGGCAAGCAAAAGTGATTATCAACTATTTTTAGTCAAGGAATTGGTTGCCAGGGACATGAAGATAATTCCTTCCCCATATATCAGGGAAATGGCTGCAGTGCTGTTTGAAAGGCCTAATTGAGGGGATTTATAGTAAAATGCAACTTGTCAGATGTGGCAAAGGAAAAATAAAACAGTCCCTGAGACAAGGAAATCAGTCCATTCGTCATGGTTAATCTCAAACTCCTCGGTACGGCGCGGAGACAAACGTGGGAGATGGGTATTAGGGACGGGGAGAATGAAGAGAATGAAGAGAAATATCGGATCTCCAGGAAGGAGGGAGAGGAGCGATTTAGCCTGACTTTATCTGCCTTCGGTGTATTTTTATTATTGTTTTATATAACTGCATATGGGTTAACACTCCTGTTTCTGAGCAGCTCCACAAAGGCTGCTGTGTGTGCTCTGCGTGACTTACACCACCACAGTGCTCCTACATTGTCCCCTGCAGGCATCCCCTCCCCTTGTTTGGGAAAAACATGCAACTCCATGTGTCAGTCCTGCACAATGGGAACAAGACCAGGGCTGGTCTCTGCACTGGGGGAATGGGGCACACGTGTCCCTGCTTCCCACATGGGGCATCAGTAACAGTGTGGGCCACGGGGCTTTGCTTCCAAGCAGGACATCTGCAGGGGAGAAAATAATCCTCGATATCATGGACATAGAGATCAGGCTGATGGAAGAGTGGATTTTGGCTTCTGGGCTGAAAACACAGCTGATCTCAACAGTGTGCCTCAGTTTCCCTGCTGGTGCGTTAGGACTGTTTCTTTCCTGCGTAAATTGAGTGAAGCTGAGGATGCTTTTCAGCTCAACGCTTGGTGGAGGAAGGGCTGTCAGCACGTGGAGCTGCGTTAGCAACTGCAGGCTGTGAAAAAAACCCAACCCAACCCATCAGGTTTCTCCCGGGGAGAATTGCTTTTTGCCCTGGTTTTAAAATCCAGTTTCAGGCTTTCTGTCCTGTGTTCCTTCTCCCTCTTCCTAGACCTGCAGTGTGGGGAAGACCACGCTCTCAAATTCTGCCTGACAGAAGAAAGGGGTTGCTGGGACCGGTTTTCACTCATTCCAGGTCCCAGCATCATATAATCGTGCCCCAAATTTGAGTCACCCCATTATATTTGACCGCTCTGTACTGTCTGCCTCGTCCCTGCAAGGTTTTGGCTGCTCTGAAAAGAAGAGCAGGAAATCTTAAACCACAGACCCGCTGAATACGTTGCAGGGAGGGAAGCCAACGGCTTGTTACTCAATCAACAGCCTCCTTTAACGGTTATTGCCTTAGAACTCGGCTGGCAGAAAGGTTTCTTGGTCCTGAAGACCTTGGGAAAGGCTTGGGTGGCCTCTGGATGCTTCAGACCCCTGTTCGTCCCGTCAAACCCTGCCGGGGATGCAGAGTTGTCCATGCAGCCACGCCAGGAGAGAAACCAGTGTCCTCCTGGGAGAAGGAAAACCCAACCAAAACACGCGTTGGGCTGGGTTTTGCTCTGACTCACTGCTCCACGCAGCAAACGACTGATTCCTTCAGTACATGGATAATTCTCTCCTGCCCTTTCTTCTCCCCGTGCCAGACTGTGTGCATCAATAGGAGATACTGGGTTCACAAAACCCCCGAAACTGCATATTAAAATAAGCAAACTCAAGAAAGCTGGGAAATGTACAGAGATCTGGAATCTAACTGAACGTCTCATTTGATTTCTGAGTATCTTAAAATAGCTTGTCATATTTTTCAAATTTCTTTTGGGAGGAAGTGTCAGTTTTGAATAGAACAGAAACACAAAAGCTTTTGTTTTACAGCTAATTAAACCTTAAGGCAGAACGCTAAACTAATCATAATAATAGTCATAATTATTATTTTCCTCAATCAAAACGCTTTTAGCTAAGTCAACTGAAATTTGCCGATCAGCAGATTGGCATTTCTGGTCAAATAAAACGCCGCCGTTTGTGATTAGGGAAAAAAACTCCGTGGTTTTACTCCGGAGGCTGGTCCCATCAATCCAGCAGCAGAAAGTACCCTGCTTTTGTGCACCGTGTGGCAGAGAGATGCACAGCCCTGCCAGCACCGAGCTGTCCTGTCCATGGCCGTGTCTCCCTTAGCAGCCCAGGGACCCATCCTCCCTTGCAAGGTGATGTTGGGTCCCACCTGATGGAGTTGAATGGATGTACAAGAGTTGTGTGGATGAAAATGATGCTGTTGCATGGATGTGCATGGTGTGGTTGTATGGTTGGTGCAGCTCTGGTGATGCAGGGACATGCCCATGCCCCTGGGCACCCACCAGTGGTGTGGCCACATCCACAGTGTTGCACATATCGCAACCGATACGCTCTTCCTTTGGGCATGACCACAACATCATGGGCACGGACACGCTGTGGGTGATGGAAACATCCTGCAGAGATCACAGCAAGGACTGGGACTTCCTCAGGAATGGCTTG